TCATCTCACTCTCTGGTAACTACTGTACTGACAAGAAGCCTGCTGCTATTAATTGGATTGAAGGCCGTGGTAAATCTGTTGTTGCTGAAGCCGTTATTCCTGGTGCCGTCGTCGAGAAGGTCCTCAAAACCACCGTTGCTGCATTGGTTGAATTGAACATTTCCAAAAACTTGATCGGTTCTGCCATGGCTGGTTCTGTTGGTGGTTTCAATGCTCATGCTGCCAACATTTTGACAGCTGTGTATCTAGCCACGGGCCAAGACCCTGCTCAAAATGTAGAAAGCTCAAACTGCATCACCTTGATGAAGGCCATCAATGACAACCAAGATTTGCATATTTCATGTAGTATGCCTAGCATTGAAGTCGGTACGATTGGTGGCGGTACCATCCTACCTCCTCAACAAGCCATGCTCGACATGCTCGGTGTTCGTGGCCCTCATCCTACTGAACCAGGAAAGAACGCCCAAAGACTTGCTAGAATCATCTGTGCTGCTGTCATGGCTGGTGAATTATCGCTCTGTGCTGCTTTGGCTGCAGGTCATTTAGTCAAAGCTCATATGGCTCACAACCGTGCTGCTGCTCCACCAGCCGTTCCTGGAAGCTGCATCAAATCCTAAATCACAAAATGCATATTTATTTATTCCCCCCTTCTTTTTTTCTACTTTATATTTACCCTAATACTAGACAACGAACTGTATGTTTTGAAATAAGAAAAGATGTACACTTACAAATTGAAGCTTCTCGTTCTGTTTAAAAATCGAAAGGAAATCGGCAATTACCAAGCAAGTAAGCTCGCACCTCTGGTTAGGGTTAATGACTGTGTTGATGCTAAATGAATTGTGGATCTGTGCTTATAAAATAATCTTACAATGAGACCTGAATGGAGTTAAGCGATACGGACTTCCTTAAAGCTATGGTGTTGACCAATCTTTGTTATCAACATGTAAAGATTCATTACATATAAGTAATATGATGATAATCTCAGACAGCATTATTAGACCATGAATTTTTCTAGTCTTTCGTGTTATAATAGCCAATTCAAGTTTGGTTTGAGTTGGTCAACATGCATCTTTGTTAACTTTGTGTGTATATTCACGACAATGCGTAGCGTAAGCTGTCTGTCGACACCACCTCTTGCTGTAGCAGACAGTTGTGTCATCCAAAATGTCTTTTCGATTTGGGATCCTGTCAGTTGTGAAATCGCTAATGCTTTTGGGCGCAATGCAAATGTAATCACAATTTGCTGGCAAAACTATGAATAAGAATTTCTGGCTAAAATCCTCTTTTGCACAATTGATATGTTTCACCTCGACTACCCTGAATTTAACAATAAATTAATTTGATCCGAGCACATGCTTTTCTTGTTGTTATGAAGCCATTGTATGATGTGTGATGGTATTACTTCTACTACAACGTATGCTAACAACATACGGTTGTGGCGACCACCACAATTTAGTACATATGTTTCATGAAAATGAATCTATGTACTATTTCCTTTTCTCATGTACAACGCTCTCATTGCCATAGAGACCATCTAACCAAAAACAAAGCAGGAGGTAACATTTCCCCATTTACAATTTGAATGAGCAATTCCCAGCGATTGAATTATATACCAAACACAAATAGTTGTGACAGAAGCATTGACGCGTGCGCAGACTAAGTTGTAATACTTTTCAAACCGCAAACTCCTCCTTGATAGTATCAGGAACATCGACTGCCTTCATGGTGAGATGAGTATTGAGTTTGCCAGCCAGCACAACCGGCCAAAATTAATTCAAAACCAGACTTATAGTCTGTTCTAGATTGGCCAAATCTTAAGATTTTCGACTCGATTGAACTATTTTGGCAGATTCGACTATATAAAATTTAGTGATCATCCTATGCGTCTTTAAGCTTTCTTGGTGAGCTTTTCAAGGCGCATCCAATGGTACCAAGTAAGGTAAATGTTTTGAATAAACTTTTTGAGTAACCTAAAAAAAATATGAAAAGAGGTTTCTGGTCAAAAAGTCGAGATTTTCCATATCAAGGTCCCACAAAGATGATTTCAGAGGTTGCTTTGGATCGATAGAAACATTTTGATTCAAGATATACCATAGTAAAAGTCTTCATTTTCAAGGTCAAAAACGCGATCATTTGATTTTTGATGAAAACCATGAGGGTTACCTCATGGTTTTTGGTCAAATATCATCCATGTTTTTTTTTATCCCCAAAAAGTTGAGCAAAGGTGTCAAGAAATTATTATCACTCGAGTACAATTGTTTGGCGTTATTCCGGTGGCTCAGAAAGGCCTACAAGCCAAGATATGAAGGCTTGAAAACTGTTCAATTTGGTTATGTTTTGCTTTATGACTTTTATTTACAGTATATATTATATTAGATTCATACGCTGTATTCATCGAAGATGTTAATATGCAGCCTTTCTGGAGATCGAAGCCATCTAATTGTAAGACAGTAGTATTCGAATAGAACGGTTTTACAATGACATTTGGGCTCAGTGAAGATCTTAAAAGTCAATACTTCTTTTAAGGAGCAATCGCTAAATAAATGTTCAATCATTACTGTTCACAGTAATTACGCTGAGCAAACTCCATGCTAAAATAGCTGGTTGGGTAGGCCCCTTTGATGTAACAGCCGGCCCACATCATTGCATTTTGGATTTACTAGTTTGTCCCATATTGCAATTACTACAATTGCAACATGTCAATCAATTGCATCTATCATCAAGTAAATCACTAACTGAAGGACCTGGCTAGATATATGCTACTCCACATCTTATTCATGTTCATAACATTATCGTAGCTTAGATTGCACATGAAACTGGTAATGACAAGACTTTAAAAGAAGGGCATTTAGAGGATTAAAGGCATAGTTTATTGTCATTTACATTATTCATTCACATTTATATATATATATATATAAAAACTCTTCTTGGTTTCTCAAAGCCATTTACAATGGCAATGATACTCACAGGAACAACTACGAGAAAGTGAGAGTCTAAATGTTCCCAAATGGATAGCGCACCTAGTGTGAGGCCCAACTACCAACCCAAAGACATTGTTACATGCTCAGGCGACCTACGAGTAAGCCAATGGGTTGAACTCACACACACAACAGAGCACGCAACACCATAAAAACACCTCCATCAACAAAAAAAAAAACCTGACTTGAAAGAAACAAAGTGGTGCCATAAGGAAGAGCGATATAACTAAAAGCAAGAAAGTAGCATGCAAACGAAAGGATGTTACACGCTAATAGTAAAAGAACAAAAGTAAAGTATTCATCCATCTAAAAAACTGCCCTCTTTATATACCATTTCACTGTTGAAAGTATCGAACCAAAAGACCCCACGGCGTTAGTTTCGTGTTAGTTTGTGTTGTTTTGATGAATTTCGTCATGTTCACCTCACCTTGGACCCTGAAAACAGCACCATTGTATTCCGCAACAATTTGCTTTCCAATGATGTGCATACTTTATAGTAGAATACCTTCTTTTTGACCATGCAACGACCATTCATTTGTTCATCTCTCTTCAATTCATGTCGTTTTGTTTACATGTGAAGAATTTTTTAGTTCGATGTTGCCTACAAATGAGCTGTTTTGATTTTGCATGATCCGAGGACCTTCCAAAAGAAGGCAGTTCCTACACTAATGATATGGAATGTGTTGACTCTACTGTATGTGATGAGGTGAATACTTTTGGCGTGAGAATTACAAACAGACTACAGGAATGATACATAAGGCTCATCAGCCGATCATGCGAATGCGGGCATAATGATGATGTAGAGTAGCCCAAATACTTGATTAATATCATTGACAGCAACCATGATAGTTGGCACAAGTTTGTTTGCACTGGCTCGTAAACAATCTGTTTTGTTCTATTCCATGGAGGCTAAGATGCCAATTTTCATATAGTGCTCTTATCGATGCTCTGTCTTCCGAGGTGTGCACTTGTTTCTTGATTTGAATGTGCATGCTTTGTGGCACAAAAATCAATGAAAACTGGTTCCAGGTGATGTAAATAAAGAATAAGCTATGCCTATCATTCAATTGAAAAAAAACAGCTCATGGTGAATGCAAACAGAAGGAGAGATGAATCGAGAACCTTATAATTTCTGGTAGCGAGAATAAGGAGAGGTAGAGAAGGACAACCGAATTAAGCTTCCAGTTACACCTGTTTCAGAATCAAATGATGTATTTTTTTTTGTTTATCTTGAACCTTGGTGTTAAAATCTTTCATGTGAAATACGCCTATGAGGAAATAGGGGGGGGGTAGAGAGCTCGTTGCATGTGAATGTCGAAAATGAGCATTTTGCAATAGTGAAATAGATACAACTGGGGATAGAAAACAGTTGGAAGCATGGGATGAAGCGGATCAAATAGAGCAAATGTCAACTGTCAAAATGGTACTACTCTCACATTCTTAAAGTAGCAACGTATGGATAAAAGTAATCTTTACTGCGTGAGATGCACTGTGAGTTAATTCGCAGTTGGTAAGATCTAGATGCTTCAGAAGGGGGATGTGCAGCGACACTTTGGTTAGGTTTTGTTGATCCAGTTGGCATCGTTCCAATGACAACTTCTGTATAGACCTGTTTGATAACCCTGAGTGCAGAAGCAGAGGCATCACCAACGAGTGACCAATCCACCATGGCAAGCGCTTTCAATACGGAACAGCTTCTTAAAGTATAGTCTAAGGGAGACAAACGGCATTTACTCCATAGACTTGCATCACTTGCTGGCTGATATTTGCCAAGATCAAATGTTGAAGGTATGTCCCAGAAGTCTCCAATAAAGCTTGATGAGGGAGAGTGTTTGCATTTTGCTCTCTAAACAAAATTTTGTCATATTGTTTTGCATCTTCAAAAATAGCTGTGATCTTGTTGGCATTGCATGCTGATGAATGGCTAGAGTCAACATTGAACTGTAACATAGGATTATCTGCGTTAATGTACGAGTGGTTTTCACGTGTGTACCTAATTTCCGCTGATCCAATATAATGCATTCAATCTAGAAAACTGGTCAGAAAGCCAACCACATTTGGCATGCACACGTTGTGGAAGTTTGCTGTTTTCATCTGGAATACAAAGGACAGAGACTGCAGCATGGTCTTGGATGAGAACCCAAAGCCTTTGGTTTTGAGATCAGCTACTAGTTGATGGTCTTGATGATTGGTATTGATATCCAGATGGTGAAGCCTAGGAAACTTGAACATGATGTACTTGAGCGACTCGTCAGACATGAGCAAAAAGTTGCCAGTAAATGAGCTGATACGAGGTCGAGGCTGGATTTGTTGCAAATCAACTGGCATGTGCATATCGTCACCAAGATAGTTGAACATGCCTATATTTGCGATTCTTTTGAGAGAGTACGCCGTGAAGCTAAAAGACTCTAGCTGAGGACATCGTTGAAGAATCAAATGCGACCTATTGCTGTTATGGCTCGTTTTTCCTCGCGAAACAAGGGCTCTACACACGTCGCAGCTACCAGTAGATTAACAGAAAAGTAATCCTGGTAAAATGCTGATTCGTCGTTTAGCGTGTTAATGTAAGCTAGTCGTCAATAACGCCATGTCAATTTGACAGCTCTACTCATAAGTTTATATGCGACTATGCATATACATGCTATGGATTTGCTTGAAGTAAATATCTTGATTCAAGTGGCTACTGAGATGAAATCATTCCAATCACCTTACATGTGGGTTGGCTGTTCATGCAAATAAGTAAGTAAATGTATCTTGATAGTCAACATACTTTGTATTTGGCTGTGTATTAAGCAGAGCAGATGTACATCACATACCAAGAGAGACATCTCTAGTATACAGATTGAAACAAATGTGTAGTACCATGTAATGACGTTCTTGGTGTGGGGTTAAAATATTTATCCTCTGGTATTTAACCACAAGACATGCGAGGCTCTTTTATTTTTTCCTTTTATCTCTTCTCTTTATCAACATTTATTAACCATGAAGAAAATCAACAATTTCGCTTCAGGCATTTCGTCTGCTGTCAATTCACCTATTCCTACCAGCTTGAAAGGTAATTTCATAGGCAATGGTATTGGGATGACAGCGTTGTTTATCAAGTGCTACTAGGCGAATGCAAAAAGGCCGCAAAGATTCTCAACAGTTTTCTGGGTAAGCTATTCTTTCTTGGAAGAGAACCGTGTTATTCACACTGAGAAACCAGATCCTGGGCAAGGCATGGATAAGATTATTCCAGAGAACATCTTGGAGAAAGCACAGGGTTTAGCTATCTATACTGTCCTCAAAGCAGGTTTCTTGTTCTCGGGACGTGCAGGAAGTGGCATTGTGATTGCAAGGTAAGATGAAAGAGTGCTTTGTGTGCCAAGAGCATATAATATGCTGACCTCCACTATGCTGTAGATTGCCAGAAGGAGGTAAATAGACGATGGATACTAAAACTTGCAACATGGCACAAGTAAGTGTAACATGATATCATTTTCTTTTTAGGGTGGTCTGCACCTTCTGCCATTGGCACTGGTGGCATTGGCGCAGGTGGCCAAATTGGTAAGCTGTTTATATCATAAACGAGAGGGAATGAGATGACTCATGGACGTTTCAAACGTAGGCGCTGAATTGACTGATTTCGTGCTTGTGTTGAATACCCAAGAAGCTGTCAAGACATTTTGTCAATTGGGTAATGTCACTTTGGGTGGCAATGTGTCAGGTAACGAATAGAGAAAGGGAACAACACTGGGAAAATTAAACCGATGTTGGATCTATAGTCGCTGCGGGTCCCATCGGTCGTAATGCTGAAGCTTCAGGAAGTGCCAATCTCAAGCATATTGCCGCCATCTATTCTTACAGCAAAACCAGAGGTTTGTTTGCAGGCGTATCATTAGAAGGATCTGTGGTAGTTTCAAGAGGAGATGCGAACGAGAAGTTGTATGGACAACGTGTTACCGCCAAGCAATTATTGACGGGCGCCATACCACCACCACCTGAGGCTGATGCATTGTACAGAGCATTAAATGCCAAGTTCCACACTTTGGGCGAGCAAACATATTCAGCACGTAGCATGACCAGCGAAGATGGATCTCCCCGCTCCATAGGGCGCAGTAGCGGTACATTCAAGAGCACTCACATTTCCGCACCAGGTACATTGAGACAACCACCTCCAGTTCGACAACAAGGCGGATACGGTGCTCCTATAGCTATACAACAACAGCCCTACAATCCAACACCTTCATCTCCACCTTCCTATCAACCACCCGCTGGAAACAATTACAACAACAGCTATGGACAAGATATCAAACCCTCCGTCAACAATAGCTACAATAACAACAATTACAACTCTACTCCTAATAATAACTACAATACTAATACTCTCGCAAGTCAAGCTGCTGCTAAAAGAGCACCACCTCCACCTCCACCTAGCAGAAAACCTGTCGTGGCACCATCAGAACCTACTGCAAGAGCACTATATGCATTTGATGGGCAACAACAGGGTGATTTGAGCTTCCAGGAAGGAGATGTGATTACCATTGTGCAAAAGACAGAGAGCCAGGATGACTGGTGGACTGGAAAGATCAACGGTAGACAGGGCATTGTAAGTGAATTTAAGAGTGTTGGAAAAAGAAGGTGCTAATCATGTGTGTTTGGTCTTTGTAGTTTCCAGCAAATTATGTTCAATTACAGTAGACAATTCAATTTATATATATATATATAATAAAATGTCATATCCATTTTCTGCAACACGTGCCTAGTAGAGTAGAGTGAGAGCGAAAAAAAAAAAAAAAAAAAAAAAGCTACATCTGAAAATGTTGATTGTGGAGTATCTCCAAACCGTCGGCTCTTTATTGCATAAAATAGACAAACTAGTGTTGAGACATCTAGCACAACATCCAGAGATGGCTTGCAATGTCCAACAAGTCGATCGAATACTAGATTCAGGAACATGCGCAACATGACAGGAGTTATCAATGCGAATCTTCCACGTCACTTTGCTTATATAAGCAAACTTGAAAGGAAACGTTTGTATAAAAATGCCATTTCAACGTTTGTTTGGTTCGGTTTCTTTTATTCCGTTCAACTAAATAAATAGAATAGAATAATGACCGTTCTCCCAGAAGACCACGTTTACACTGACCATGTTCATCCTTGGGAGGAAATTGTCTATTATGTTTGTACGTATAACTGTAGAAATCACTGGACTTGCTGCTAACATCTGCTGCCACCACTAACAACAGCCCAAAATCAAGTGAGCAAACTACGCAGAAACAAGGACGCCCAAGCAGTGTATCAGAAATGGACTCAAGAGACACTCCAAACATACGGTTCCGTTGAAAACTTTCTCTTGAAAGAAAAACTGATCTGGCCAAAGGATGACCCCAAGCCAATGTTAGTGCTGCCAAATGATTTCCCTTATTCAGTCGATCCTGGGATTGAACATGTCTTGATTTGGTCCAAAGCACCCTTAGCTGCCGATTTTGTGGAATCGGTGTTGGATGAGAGATTTGGTGCTCATGTTTGGGAATGGGTCTATTTTGTTAATCCCCCTGAATGGCAGAGTGTGCCTACACTGCCTCATGTGCATGTCTTTATGCGAAAGAGATGCTTAGAATAAATGCGTTTGATTCTGATTTCGAGAGCAATACATGCCAACAAAATAAACTCGTATGAAATGCATGCATCAGCATGATTTGTTTTTAAGACATATCAATGCAATATGCATCGTTTAAGAGATATTGGTAGATCAAACAAGCGCAGTCTCATCCATGTATATCAAGACTGCAATACTGACTATTGTTACATTCAAGAGTGTTCGGCAATGCATACAATTTATATCATAAATTCAAATGGACTTATCGCAATCAAAGCACCGTGCAAATGCATGCTTGATCTATCTCCACGCCCCTTTCAAACCGAGCACGTACCATGCGACATGAAGAACGGATGCTCAGCACTGTTTTGTAAGTTGCAATACGCATCAGGATGCCTTTTTTTTTTTTTTTTTTTTTTTTTTTTTTTGGCTCTGCAGTCAACTCAGAACCAAACAGAAATGAAATGACTCACCATTTCACTCCTCTTTTTACTCTTATTTTTAAGTATCCGCTTCCTTTCAAAAGTATATAAGCAACGTTTTGATTCCATTTGATCATTCCCTTTCTTTCATTCTTGTACATTCTCAATTAGGCATTATGGCTGACAGCCCTTATACACTTGACAAGCTTCGTAGTACCTTGATTCGCTTGGAAGATACCATCATCTTTGGTAAACACTCGCCTTCAAATGTTGAAACGATTTTTTTTTCTCTTACTCCTTTGTTGTCTGATGTATAGCCCTCATTGAAAGAGCCCAATTCGCCTTGAATCCTTGTATCTATGAGAAAGGCGCTTTAGAGTTTAAGGGTGCAACTGGCGAACGTAGTTTTTTAGAGTATTTCTTCTGGGAAACCGAGAAAGTGCATGGTAATTATCATATCCTCTTGATGATAAAGAGAACGCTTTTCTGATTTGCATTTCGATTAGCCAAGGTGCGAAGATACACTAGGTAAGAATACATAAAAAGAAAACGACATGCCAATTTCAAGCATCGATGGTTGACCAAGAGCTCTTTGTTGCACACGCAGTCCTGATGAATATGCATTCACATCACCTCTACCTGAACCCATCCTCCCACCACTCGAGTTTGTGAAATTTCTTCAACCCAACGATATCAACGTCAATGACAAGATCATGAATATTTACGTCAAAGACATTGTGCCTACTATCACCAAATCTGGAGACGACATGAATTACGGTAGTTCAGTAACAAAGGATATTGAAGCATTGCAAGCCTTGAGCAAACGCATCCATTTCGGTAAAGCAGTAACACAGTTTCATCCCATGATCTGTCTACTAACCAGCTTACAACTTTGACTTTAGGCAAGTTTATTGCAGAATCCAAATTTAGATCGAATCCCGAAGAATACATTCGTTTGGCTTTGGCAGAGGACCGAGAAAAGATTGATGAACTATTGACAAATAAGGCTGTGGAGAAGAAGGTTTTGGAAAGATTGCATAGAAAGGCTTTGGTATATGGTCAAACTTTAGACGAGGAACAGGAGGGTACAAACAAGCATTTGCGTATTCCAGTGGATGTCGTTGTTGATCTTTACAAGAAGTGGGCTATTCCTTTGACAAAAGAGGTTGAGGTTGATTACCTTATTGCTAGAGGAAAAGAGGCTGCTGCTGCTAAAGATAAATAAAGCTTGGAGTTTATCTTGAAATATTCACACCATCTGAGTATTTGATGGCTTATTTCGAACAAATGTGGCATTTCTTGGGGGATGGGTATGAGGCTTTTATGCAAAGAGACAGCGACTTTATATCAGTGCATTAATTTGAATGACCAACTATTTCATGAGGTGATGCAGTCGTGTTTAACAGCTTGGCTCTGATGCATGAAACTCGTAAGGAACAGATCTTAACCGTCTACGGCAAATCCACTAAAGTACGCTTGCAAACATATTCAGGGAAGCATGTTTTGCTGAAGCTAATGCTATCCTGTATTAAGATTAAAGCAAACTCTACTTTTGGATAATAGTAGATCCACGTATTTACAGAAATATTAAGATCTTGCGGTAGACAAACCTTGATTTCTAGCGTATATTTTAGCTTAATTCTATCTGGTGCATTGGGTGATACTGTGGTCAGAAGATGAACAGATTAAATGGTTGTTTCTTCATGCATTTTAATGCTACATATTTTATTGTGTTAGAAGCTTTAGGTGGCCTGCATTAAAATCCTGATGGCCACAGGCCTTGAGAGACAAAGAGTATACATATTCGTAAGTTAATGATTGCATGCCTCATTGCGGCCCTGGTTCACTACTGACAGGAATGGTTTCCAAGGAACTGGTACGAGCATCACCTTGGAATACTCAAATGTATGCAAAAACACAGCAAAATCAAGGTGCATTTGAGTCGTGTTTTTCCGTATTAGAAGCTGCTTTAGATCACCAGAATAGCACCAAACGATTTCACTTGACTAGAACTAACTTCCTAAAACCTTCACTCAACTTTTTTGAAACCTGAAAAAACATGGTCAAAAACCATGAGGGATACATCATGGTTTTTATCTAAAATCAAACGATCGCATTTTTACCCCAAAAATAAAGTCTTTCAATATGGTGATATATTACATCAAATGTAGCTATGAATCCAACGCAACCCCTGAAACCACTTTTATAGGACTTTAATACGCAAAATCTCGACATTTTTGCCCAAAAACCTCATTTCATATTTTCTGAAATTGCTCAATAGGTTTGTTCAAAACAACTATACAAGTTAACACCATTGGATGCGCCACAAAGAGTACTTTTATAAAGCGTAAGGAAGCAATGAATGATTCTCGCATTTCACATAGTCGAATCTTTGAGAATAGTAAAATCAAGTCGTTTCTAAACAAAATTTGGCGTGTATGACATATCTGGGGCAAAAATTGTTTGAATTTCCATATTTAGTAATTTTGGCGAAGCCAAATTTTTTTTGTAATTGAAGGTTTTGATTGTAATAAATGCACGTAGAAAGTGGTATTGCTCTGATATTGGCAAGATTATTATCCAAGTTAAATTCTTGAATTTTACGGTTTTAATCCATGTAATCGCCTCATACAGTAAATTTAACGCCGAAGCAAAAGATGTTCATAAGAGTAGTAGGTGTCTAAATGACACGGTGCTTATGGTACTAGCAAGTATATTTCAAAGTATCCGAATACGGAATAATGTATACGTGTGCTTTATAGAAAGGTGGGCTTTAACTGATGACAATATATCATTTTTGCAATCACCTGTTGCAATTTTTGGCATCCCAGATACCTGGACAGCCAGATGTCGCAGCACATTTCAAACATCTTGGACTACTACAGTCTGTTCGTTTGTTTTTACCATTGCAGACTTCACTTCCACAACCTTTACACTTTCTTGCTGTAACCCTTTTTGTTATTACTGGTGCTTTCTGGTAGGGATGTGGATGGCACATCTGCAGTCGAGGTGAGATGAACCTGTGTGTTGGGACCAGCAAGGCAGTTTGGGGCCTGTGATCAGGAACGGGCAAGACATCTTGTAGTCTGTGGCTAGGAACAGGCAATGATGGCTGGAAATAGTAGCCAGCAGGGAGGACATTGTGCTGTAGGTGTGGCTGTTGTGGTTGCGGTTGAAGCAGTTGCGATGAAACAGATGGCGGCGGTATTTGTGCATCAATTGTGGCAGCAGAAACGACAGCAAAAATATTGTTGATGGATGGTATTCTTGGTGATGCTGCTGGCAGTAGTTGAGAAGGCTGATTAGTGGAGACGACTTGATGCTCAATGAGTCTCAAAGCTATTTGATGAATCTCCTCTGTTTTGGATACTCCGTCTTGTAATTCGAAATCTTTATAATACTTCTCGAGATGATCCGTGGTTTTATAGAATATATCAATACCGTTGGCCTTTTCATTGAACTTGCTGGCAAAATCAACAAAATTTATCCTTCTATTGTTGCTATTCTTGTAGTGAGTTTCATAAATGACCCTGAATTCGGATTTCTCCTTCATCGTATGGACAGCGAGCACGGCAAACTTTGTACATTGATTGTTTGCAACAAACTTGTAACGGCCAAGATGTGAGCGCAAAGTTGACCCAACTTTCATGAAGACAGTGTCTTGGAGCTGTGGAATTGTTTTGTCTATAAGAGGCAAGCTCTCATCCGTGATCTCAGAGGGCAAGATACCAATTTTGACCATCTCTTCATTTGGTAAAGGGCATATACCAAAGAGCTCACCAGAACCGCAATATTCCAAAGCATTCACAGACAAAGCGATGTTTCTTGTGTCAGCACTGAATCCCATTTTTTGACGCAAGAGATCAATATGCTGAACTAGCCAGGGATCATAATGGCTTTTGTAAATGACTGAATGCCTGTTCTTTGAACCCACGTCGAGATTATGTCTCAGCCTGTATTCAGTAAGCATCGCATTAGCCAGCTCTGGACCAGCACCAAACGACCCAAACTTGCGAATCAAGTTCTGATGGACTCCGCCTTCTAAAGAGTTTGTTCCACGGATGCATCTATAGAGTGTCAGCTTGAGATCGTCCAATTTTCCTGTCTTAATGTACAATTGTACATCTGGCGGATCAGACACATGGCCTAACTGCACTGTTCTCAAGACAGCAGCTGCTTGATCCCAAGATTTTTTATCAAACAGTGCTCTTCCAGATTTTGCGCACTTCAGAGGGCCGTAAGAAAGAAACAAGGATTTTAAAAGAGGAAGCAACACTTCAGGAGCAGACACCTTTCTTCGTACTCTTCTCCACAACCACGCACGATCGTATTTCATCTTCGAATCCCAGGTGTGTGTAAAGCTTGGATCCCTAAGTCTTTTCTGTGCAAATGCCGCGATGACCTTTTCTTTGTCAGTCTCATCAATCGTAAATAAGCTTTCACTAAATTTTCTAGTGAATTGCTTATACAAGGTGTGTCTCTTATAAGGCTTGATCATATCCATCAAATGAAAAATGTCTTTGACGACGCGAGTAAAAGCAATTTTGGGATCAGCATTATACCAAGCAAACTGTCGATAGCCACTGGTAAAGCCAGCCTTGTCAACCCTGTCTATAGCATCACCAAAAATCTCTTGCATCTTTGACTGAATTTCTGACTCCATAATAGCATTGGGATTGCTTACTGGCGTAGCTATTACAGGATCGCTAGGGGCGGTAGGATTAGCAGAGGAAATACTCGAGGCTTCAGATGGTGAAGCAGCTGTGATGAGATGAGCTGCAGGAACTCTCAGTTCAAATGGTGGTTCACCATATGTTTGCAAAGCAATACCATTTGCCAGATATCCAGGAACATATACTTTTGTAATTCTTACAGTTGCTGTGCTACCATTAACCACGATTTCGCCGTAGGCAACAGCTTGACTGTTTCGTGGAGGCATCACATCTACAAACGAACCAACTGGACAGGTAGGAAGCACACGATTACCAACAGGCAGATGATTCGCAGCAACACTGTAGATGGCCAAACTAGCCCAAGCATCAATTGCAGCATAATTTAGAAGATCTGGCGAGAGGTCAGCCATATTCCATGCGCTTCTTTGAGGGCCTTTATCAAGAGGGGCACCAAGTATACATAGCGAAATGTCTGACAATGACATTGTACCTGTTGAGATTAGCTGCCGTGCAGAACAGAATGATCCTAGCTCCAACTTCGTTTTGCATTCAATTCCGAACCGATTATTGAGACGAGAGAAATCAACACCAATGCTTCTTCCAACTTTCGTGATATCAGCATTTACAAGCACATCTACAAGCTCCTTGGGAAGTGCGAGCCAGGATCTATCAATATGCAGGACGTCCACTGTATTGCCATGAGCAATCTGAATGACATCAACTTGATCGTAATGCGGATCGTCATTCACATTCCATTCTGTGTCAAGTCCAATAACCGAGGGCTTGCCAGCGTTTCTCTCGACTGTCAACTTGTCATTCAGATCCTTCATCTTCCTAATAATCAACCCTACATCACGATTGAGATAGTCTACCTCAACATCATTTGGCAGCCTGAGGAATAACCGGTTTGCATTGCTGTTTGCAGTCTCTTGCTGACGTGGGACCTCTTGAATGACCTTCAAAGAGTCGAAGATGCTCTCCAAGAATCGTTTATCGCTTTGCACATTATCAGTGAAGAAAGCTACCGGCATCTCATGTCCATAAAGTTCGTATGCTTCTTTCATTTTTTGCAATGAATGCTTCAGATAGATAAGGGACTTTGAGGGGACCAGAACCTGATGTACGATCTCCTCATACTCATTCGTCACGGTGAACAAGGCAGTGAATACACCAGCATCCTCAATTTTAGCGATATGTTTCGGGAATTTGAAAGAGTGATCGCACTTAAGCACCTTGCCGTCAAGAAGCATGGCATGTTTGTCCATCTTTGGCTTGAGTTCCTCGATCATTGCTGTGTACAAAGTCCTGAAATAAGTGGCACTTGGTACATAACCAGCATACTGGTGAGGGTCTTCAAAATTCGAGTAAGGGAGGAACGAATAGTTTCGGAGGAGTCCTTTCTTTTTAGCCAAACATGACAGTAAGTACTGGAGTTCCAGCTGATCATGACGAAGAACATGCAATTCTCGGAGTAACTTTTGGAATCTCTGAGGACCCATTGAGTTTTGCATGCACGGACGAAGGAGATTTGCGACAGTTTTGGAAACACCTCCTTTGCTAGTCAAAACGGCAGGGAATTCCATCTGAAGCTCCTGTGGCAATTGTCGCATAATGATGGGGTCGTGAGATTGCCATGAGTCTTCAAATCCAGGCTTTTTGCATCCAGTCACTGTACATTCGTATCTGCATGACAACAGATAGAAACAACTAAATTTCATATTAGCAATCAAGCCAACGTTTCAGCCTTTAACTACTCTACTCTTACTTACCTTGCAAGATCAACGATTCTTCTAGCATGCGGATCCTTGTTGAAACCTTTGCTTTTCAATGGAGATTTACACTTGGGGCATTCTAAAGACTTGGACCTGTGTGGAAGCAAGTGATGAGGTAGCCACAGAAATACTCGAGGTTGATATAGGCTTTTATTGGGTTCCTCTTTCGCCGGTAACTTCTTCAGCAGTGCAAAATAGGGATTAACTGGCTCCACCCAAAAAGTATTCCTGTCGTATTCAACAGGACGTCCGTCCTCATGCAAGCGGGCACAAAGAGACTCGAAAAAGTCTCTGTGCTGAGTGTTGAGAGGGAGATCTTGGACAGTATCATTGTCTTCAGCCTCGCAGTTCTCTTCACCCTCTTCTAATCCAGCCTCTTCAGGGACAGAGAGCTCTTCTTGGCTTTCAGATGTTGATGACTCGCCCTGATTTGAGCTGCTTGAAGGATCAATACTTGTTGCTGCTGCATTGAATTTAGCTACTCGCTTGAAGGCTTGTGTGATTGTAGCTTGATTCGAAATAAAGCCTTTGGTAGCAGAGAATCGAAGGGTAGAAAAGCTGCGTGCTTTTCCTTTGTCTTTATTGTTGCTATGTTTGGTAACTTTCCCCATTACTGTTCACAAAACGCATAAATAAATGAATATAAAAAGGAGAAAGGGGGTAAATCAGATTAGGTTTGAAAGTATAGTAGGGCTTTTAAATTTCATATATATTTCTACAGCCGGCCCTAATTTATGATTTTATTGGCCAATATAAACCAATCATTTATCTTATTAGGGCCGGAGTTTTGCCCCAGGTATGTTATCCCCGCCCAAAATTTTGCCAATCTGGAACAGAGATGTAGCGGAGATTTAATCCACTTTGGCTGGTGCAGTAGTGTTCTGCTGATCGTGATGGCACTCCACGAGTTGGAAGCTCGCACTTCACAACAGTTCTATGCAACTACCTTTTTCAACTTTCAAAAGTGTTTGATTATCTGGGCAGGCTTCTTAGCGACTAGGATTACACTAGAAATGCAACCAATACCCTGGTAGATGGATCGTTATACATTGGGCTGTGCCAAATAAACAATTTCACATAAAAACAGATGCAACCCATTTTTAATTACACTTCGAAACAAGTCTGATAGTAGTAATACAACCTGATTTTGAAGAATCAAATATGACAGCAGCATTGAACAAACAAACTCGATTCATGCATGGATAGACGCCCCCGAGGAAAGTTTAATGATTTGATATTCCTGCCAATCAATCTAATTTTAAAATTTGCCTCGTCATAATGTGATGGTATCTGCTAGTAAGATACAAATCAATGCAAGTATCGCCCACGGAGAGAGAGATTTCTCAAAGGAGAAACATGGTTTACTGTACGTATTTTCAAACTCTTTTTTGATTCTTTTTTTTTTCTTATTCAAATATCTATATCATGGAGCGCTCCACCTTGACAGAAGAACGATTAATGACACAACACAATCTGAACCGGCCTCAGTCACCACCTGCACCTCGTCTTGCTCGAGCCAGTGTTTTTAGCACTGCACACACCAATAGACCCAACCCCAATGCCACCATCAATACCATCCGTTATCCACCTCGCATTCCAAGATTAAGGCGACTATCACAAGCGATTGTGAGAGCTGCGAATGGCATGACCACAGAACGGCCTAGTAGCATCAGCTCAGCAGTCTCCATGACTAGAAACGTGCACAGAGAACCAGGGTCTTCCATTGATCCCGACGCATACCATCGCATTAGCAGTAGTGACAGTGCTCATGAAGAAGACGATGTGATTCTCAACAACAGTATATACGATCTGCACTGTGTGTCTGATGAAAAGGCGGTTGATTTAGCTCAAATGTGCAATGTGGATATTCAAAAGGCGCCGTCGAATACAAGCTATGTTGCATTGGAGTTTGGGGTGGTATCAGAAGATGGAGGACAGTACAGCTCAACGTACAGTATACACAATATACTCAAGAATGACGGTACAGTGTATTGGTACGTTGTGCATACTATTGGGATGTTTGATTGTCATTGATTGTTTTTGTTACAGCTCTGAGCGATGTGGCACCATCAACATATTGCTGAGATATCGAGGTTGGGAAGGCATGAAGAATCAACGTAGTAAATATTGCGTGCTATCGCACATTGTCATCAAATCACCTACCCATGGATATACCGCACCGTGCAAAGAAGGCATGATATTCATGTCGCATAAGCCTATTGATATTGAAAGTAAGTCCTCACAACTTGCCACGCCTTTGCGGAAGTGCTGATCAAAGCTGTTTATTAGGCACCCGCGCGTTTGACTTGTTTACCAAAGACAACTTTGAAAGATACACGCACATGAATCACGACAATTTAGACGATACAGATCCAATCGCATGGTTCAGTGCTTCAGATCAACGTCAATGTGTAGTGGACATGCAAGAAAAGAGCGGAAGATATGTTTTAATCAAATTACTGCGAGCAGACTATGAATCCGAGAATATGGATTTGCAATACATTGGGTTTGTCGGTTATACAGGAAGCAGGTGTTTTGCAAAGGCAAAGATTTGCTAGTATAGAGTATAGTTTATTTACAGTGTTTCGTCTCCTTGCTGCTATTAATCCTCATTTTGTTGCTCTTGCGTGCGTTTTCTCTTTCTCAATTGCTCCTTTAATCGCTTTAAAAAGCCTCTACCCTTCTCTATTTGGAAATCATCACCGCTATTCAATAAAGCATTGACCAGCCCAGTTGCAATACTATCACTGCAGTAGAAAACAAGTTAGTACCCTGTCATAGCTTTCCAAGTCAGTATAGACACTTGCTGTAATTGAGTATCTTCAGCATCTTTCTCTTGTTGTCTCAAATTCACTGCCTCATAGCCAGGAATATTGGGTGCAAGATTGAAATGACGAAGCTCGAAACCACCCAAGAACTCATTGTCAGTAGGGTCTCTGAAAGCCATAGTGCCAAAGCCGTCTGCCTCGTCATCATCGTCCATGTCCTCGTAATCATCGTCATCCTCGTCAGGTAAATCAGGGCCTAATAGATCACTGAGGTAATTGGCATAACGAGGCTGACCTGTAATGGTCTCTCTTTCTTCATCCTCCTCGTCCTCCTCGTCCTCCTCATCCTCATCCATGTCTTGGTCCTCGTTGGCTTGTGTAGGTAAATAGTCCATGTCATCCTCTTCTTCGCTTGAGCTGGCATCTGGGTCGACGATCATTGAGCCGGTGAAATGCACAGGACTAGTCGATGGATTGTTCAGTACATTTGCTACATGCAACCGACGTCTTACTTACTTGACGCCTTCCACTACAAGGGTTGCCTTGTCCTCAGCGATGAATGTATGGCTCAGGGATTGGCATTCCACCTACACACATGGACGTTTAGTGTAACAGATTCTCCATCAGCATTGCTCACTGTTGATGTGTCTACACGTTGCTTACCAAATTTCTATCCAGAGTACACAAGGTGAATGCATGCCCCTTTGATTTGACTTTGATGATGGTTTTTCCCTTTTCTGGTGTTTCTGGTAATGACGCCTGTGTTGGTTGATTTGCACTAAGTGACCCTATATATATATATATACTTGGGCCATCGTTTATACTACCTGACGAATTTCAAGAATGCCAGGTGTTTGCATTGGAAAGCTCTCCCCAGGATTCAACGTGCAGCCTACAGCGCTTGGTCAGTGTTTGATCTGGTGGCGTTGATTGCAAAGGAAAACTTACCCCAGAATTTGACAGACATGATTTGAATGTTTAAAAGAGGTGCTGTACAAGCGAAAAAAATCTTCCCGTTTATAAAAGCCAAGAGCTATCATCCGTAAAACTCCGTCCTTCTCTGTTCCACCACGCACATTGCTTAAAAAAAAAAGGCTCGAGGTCAAGATGAAGGCTCTTTATTTTTCTTATTAATCTCTCTAGTCTGTTGCAAGGTCATATCCATGTCTGGTATAAAGAATAGAACGTATAATAGAAGAGGCAGACCACGAAGAAACAACGTAACAGCTCTGCAACAATATCATCTTAAAGAAACGGCTCTCGCTTCAGACGCACTATTTGATCTCGATGAAAATCAGCCACTCACCATTGTGCAGCCTGCAAAGAAGGCATCACCGCTATCGTTAGCGTCAGTCTCTTCGTCCCTGGCATCTTCGATTGAAGACGACACTTTTGATAAAGAGTTACCTACAGTAACTGAACGCGACTCATCATCAGCATCAACAGCAGAGCATCCCATCAACTCCGATGTCTCTCATCTATCAGATATCAATGTCATTGCTTTTGAATCATCAGAGCTTTCATCAGAAGATGATTCTATCAACACAGCTACACCACCGCCACTGCCCACACACACATCCACTGTAAATACATCCCAAGGCGTTAATCTGGATCAGCTGCCCAAGGTGCACTTTGTAAAGGGAAATATGGATGAGGACAACAATGGATTACATGATGATGCAGACGAGGATGAAGAAATATACCAGCAGGAGCAATTAGCCCAAGAAGAGCAATTGTTGATCCAGCATTACCAAGCACAGCACCAAAGCAGCTCCAGCAATAGTGTATTGACAAGTAACAACAAGGACATCTTGAAGCTGAGCCGCACTTTTAACCGACCAGAAAACCATTATATTCATTACAACGAGCTCTCCGACGTAGAGCTATACGACTCTGTTGAATATGACATGGACGAGCAAGATCAATGCTGGCTTCGATTGTACAACAAGGAACGACGCAAAGAGTTGTCAGGCGACATTTCCCCTTATTTATTCGAATGCATCATGGACAAATTAGAAAAGGAATGGTTCAACTTGGTGAGTATCTCTCTTTGGCCGTGTGGTTATAGAGCGCTAATAGCCTCCATGTCTTAGATCAAAGATACACCAAAACCTGAAACGGAGCAAGTGTTACTGCCTGAAGATTCCGCTTGTGTGGTATGCGATGATACAGAAGTGGAGAACAGCAATGCAATTGTATTCTGCGATGGCTGCAATGTAGCTGTTCATCAAGACTGCTATGGCATACCGTACATCCCTGAAGGCCAGTGGCTGTGTAGAAAATGCATGATCTCACCCGAATTTCCAGTATCTTGTATCTTTTGTCCTAACGAAGGTGGCGCATTCAAGCAAACAAACACCAACCAGTGGGGACATCTGTTATGCGCTATTTGGATCCCAGAAGTCGGTGTCAGTAATACAATCTACATGGAGCCTATTGATCAGATTGAGAATATACCCAAAAGTCGTTGGAAGCTGACATGCACCCTATGTCGAAAGAAACAAGGCGCTTGCATCCAGTGTGATAATAAACATTGCTTTTCAGCGTTTCATGTGACATGTGCAAAGGCTGCAAATCTTTGTATGAAGATGAACTCTCAGTCATCTCAATCAGAAGAGGGCGTGATTTTGAAAGCGTATTGCGAGAGACATACACCAAAAGACTACTACATAGAGAAACCGTCAGTTGTAGTTAACAGCAGCATCCCAGATTGTCGTCGTCATCATCGTCGCAGTAGCAGTGAAGAGGAAGAAGTAGACGGAAAGGAAGAGGAAGATGGCGCACCACCAGCGAGAGGAGAATTGAATGGAACAAGACAACGAGGCAGAGGACGTGGACGTGGACGAGGCGAAGGCAGAGGTCGAGGTAGAGGTCGAGGCAGGCCCAGTAGACAGGCATTAAGCGATCAGCAACAACAGCACATGGATGAAGCCAACAATAAGGAAGCTCGTGCTCATCAACACCACTACTCCACTGGCGCCCCCATTGCCCCCGACATCATCTTGGCAAAGATTGACAACTTACCATGCGTACGATTCTCAGGCATCCGAAAGCGACCTCAGGCAGTTACTGCCATTGCGCATTACTGGTCATTAAAGAGAGAATCAAGGCGAGGTGCTCCCTTGCTGAAAAGATTACATTTGGAGCCCTGGACAGCCTATTCAAAATACACGGCAGGAGAAGACGACCAGTTGGTTCGAAAGATGGTAAGTGCAACACTACTGACAAGTTACTGCTAGCTCCGCTTTCCTCATCTTACCACATCACAGGTCATTACTCAACTACGTGCAGATCTAGAAAAGGTGCGCATGTTGTCTGAGCAAGTGCAGAAGCGAGAGCGACTCAAATTGGAACAGACAAAGAAGCAGAAGGCGTATTTAGAGATGATCTTCTTTCCATTGGAATATGTCATTCGACCGGTATTGAACCAGTTCATGGAGATTGACCGCAAAAAACTGTTTTTAAATCATGTCACCATGGATGAAGCAGCAGACTACCACAAAATCATCAAGCAACCCATGTGCTTTTCTGAAATCTGCCAAAAGCTAGCAAGCCACTCTTACGCCACACTGGATCAGTTCAAAGACGATGTACGATTGATTTGGACCAACAGCATGGACTACAATACGGCGGATACAAGCTTCTATAAGGTGGCCAGTAAACTGAAGAATGCATCACAGAAACTGTTTGACAGCGCAGAAGCCAAGCTGAGTCGACTTGGTCTATTGCAAGATGGCATGCTGGATGAGCAAATTGACGATGCTCTGTTTACTTATGATGCTACTTTTGATGAGGACGATTTAATCGATGTAGAGGAACATCAGCCAGTTCAAGTGGTAGATACGGAAGCTGAGGCTCGCTTGAAGTTAGAAAAGAAGCGTTTGATGGCCGAGAAAGAGGCAGAACATCAGAGAGCTATCAGAGCTAGAGTGGAAGGTAGAGCCAAAGCAAGAGCATTGCGCGAAGAAAATAGACGAAAGGGCATTTTATCGCAAATGAATCCAGTTGAAGAGGAGATCAAGTCAAGAACACTTCGCAAGCTGAGAGATCGAGGCCATCTTGCAGTCCCTGTCAATGCTCCCTCCAGTCCAAATCAAGGCCCTTTTCTGGATTCAGTTACAAACGACAGTCTGGCACACTTGCCTTCTCAACCACGACTCAATATGGACCGTAATGAAACTCCAATGACGCTAGCTGAAACCACCATTGAGGAGCAACAACCAGCATCAGCACAGCCTGTCAATCACACAGCCGAGCAAGTGAATGATCTCAAAGTAGAGCAATCAGTCGATTCATCAGCGGCCCTTAGAGAACCGTCTAATTTATTAATTACCCAGGTTTCATCTTTATCAACAGCAGAAAGTGACGCTTGTGTGGATTCGCCCATGAGAGACTCATTCCTTGATCAAAACAACAAAGCGGAGAAGAAGGAGACACGGGAGCCATCTATCTTACAGAGTAAAGAAAAGCACAAAGAGACCAGTTTCATGCCTACCAAACGCAAACATTCATCTCTTTGTGTGACACCAAGATTGACTCGTAGCAACGGCCTACAAGCAAGCATAGAAGAACTGACGAAACGTCCCAAAATATCTCAAGAAGCGAGAGCCTTGTATGCCTCCTACAATGGTGTCTCTCACTTGGATCGTCCTCAGGAAGTGTACAAAGAAAACCGCAAAAAGCATGCGCCTGTGGGTTGGGTTTGGTTGGAAGACGATGATGCTGACGACGATGACGATGAAGAAGAAGAGGGGGGTGACGACAGGCAAGAAGCCAACATGGATCTAGATAAAGCTTCAGCCGGAGGTACTGGCTCTGCGAAGAAACAAGCAAGACTAGGACGCAATGATATTCCTGTTCCTCGATTTAACAAGGGTGAAATTGTGTGGGCTCGCGTCAATAAATACCCATCTCATCCTGCCAAGGTAAGTTTCAATCATGTAGCTTTGACGTATATGCTTACTGTTGCGCTCTAGTTTTTGAATCTGTCAGACGAAGAAGCAGGCCCCAAACTCGTAGCCAGTCGAAGATATACAGGTGATGTCTTGGTAGAGTTCCTTAAGGTGCCTGAAATGCATCGATTTGGCTGGGTTGGACGTAGAACGATTTGTGAAATGGGCGATCCTCAAGTGGATAGACAAAGATTGGAAGAAACTTTGCAAAAAAAGATGAAAAAGAAAGAGTATATCCAAGAGGCTAAAGAAGGGTACCGATGTGCAGGATCCATATTGGGCCTGAATCCTGAGCCTCTTTTGAGCGAAGTTTTTGATCGACCACCAGAGCAAAGAAGAAAGCGAAAACATGCAAGCAGCAAGAAGCGTAAATAAATCTCACCATCATATACAATTTTACATTCATTTCAACACAATAGCAAGCATATAACATTATCCTTCATACATATATATATATACACTATCACCATCATTTCAAATTACATATAAACGAGTCTTTTTATATACACCCTATGCCACAATAATACAGTTTCTGCCATCCAAGAATTATTATTAAAGTATACGAGTGTTTACGCCTCGGATGACTCTTTACCTTCACTTCGCTTCGGTGAGAACCAACTTGCGCAGCAGCAGCTCACGCTACAGATTGCCCTTACGTAGCTTATCAAAATACTACTACTTTCATGTTGACCATCCACTTACACATGAAAACCCTTCATACTATATGTGAATCTGACTCTTATGTGAATCTTACATCCATATACGCGTAGCTACTTCATATACGGGCAAACAGCTTACTGGTCTTTCCCCTTTTTAGTCCTTAGTGTTCCTGATGCAGCAAAATCTGAGTGCATTTGAGCTGCGTTTTCTTGTGTTCAAGGCCGTTTTAGATCGCTAGAATATCACCAAACAATTGCTCTCATCTGGCAGTTACTTATGGTCACTATTGCTCAACTTTTTGAGGACTAAAAAAAGATGGCCAAAAAGCATGAGGTATCCCTCATGGTTTTCATCGAAAATCAAACGATCGCGTTTCTCACCTTGACAATGAAGACTTTTACTATGGTATATCTTGAATCAAAATGTTTCTATCGATCCAAAGCAACCTCTGAAATCATCTTTGTGGGACTTTGATAGGTAAAACCTCAACTCTTTGGCCAGAAACCTCTTTTCATATTTTTGCAAATTACTCAATAAGCTTATTCAAAACATCTATCTTACTTGGTACCATTGGATGCGCCTTAAAAAGCACTCCAAGAAAGCTTAAAGGGGGGTATGGGATGATTATTAGATTTAATATAGTCGAATCTGGCAAAATAGTTCAATCGAGTCGCAGATCATCAAGATTTGGCCAGTCTGGAACAGACTAAGAGTCTGAGTTGGAACTAATTTTGGCTGGTGGGGCTAGCTGGCTGGCAAACTCATCAATGCCCTTTTCATCATGAAGGCAATACAGTAATAGATGCTTTTGAAGCGTATGGAAGGTAAGTGGCAAACTATATAGTACTATATTTAACCATGGTATCTTCTTGTAATCTATCTTAAATAACGCCAGTCCATCAAAATACTTGTTAGATCAATTTTTTTTCTTTCTGAGGCTTTGAAAGTGTCTATGGACTATTAGGTTATGCTAGCATTGTGTGAACAAGGTTCTCAGAGCAGTTTCAAGAGCCAGAGAATGAAGCTCATCTAGAGGTTGATCTAAGTAAATAGCAGTAGATGAGAACAGCATATACTAAAGCTCTTTTGGACAAACAATTGTCTACAATAATGAGTACCACATCCTTTTTTAAAACTCAAGTCAGATCAAACAGGTAGGAAACAAGTGATATAAAGCAAAACCAATACCTTTTTTCTTCAGATTTTATAACTGATATGACCAAAAAGCGAGTTCAAAACTTTACCTTACCTGTAAGTATATTGAATAGTGCCATCTTACTTCCATAACCTGAGATTCATCACTGCCATGTTCTAGGGTACAAGCAGCCAGGAATCAACATTCTCTGACCCATCTGGTATGCTATTTTCATAACGATATAGCAAGTAGAAGTGAATAGGCTTATATCATGTTTAGAGGCAAAGTTTCCTTTTCGTTTCGTAACTGACAAGCGTGCTGTAAGTGATGATAGATGCCACAGCAGTATACTTATCTGACTCAAAGTAAACAGTGTGCAGCTACAGATTTCCCTGATTCTAGTGTGCCCGCCCCTAATAGCCAGCCGCCAACATGTAATCATAGCACATACTCTTACCGACTTTACGACAGCGATGCTAGTTCAGTTTTACCAATGGATGGTATGCAAGGGCTTATTTATTCAAGCAAGAATAGTTTTTCATTCCGCCACTATTATAGTACCCATGCCATCGCCGGATGTGGATACTAATGATTGCTACAAGCATTTACCCTCTGAATGGACCGATGAACAGAAAACACGACAACTGTTGATTTGGCTCATGGAAAGAGAGGCTAATATAGAGTCTTCACCGGAAACACATGTAACTGCAGAGGCAAAAAGAGCTCGATTGGTTGCCAACAAATTGAAGCAAAAAATTATTAAAGACATGAAGGAAGGAAAGGTTGATGTTTCATGTTACAATAGACCTGACAATATAGAGGAAGTAGAAGAGAAAGAGAACCCTCTCAATGTAGCCAATGCAGAGATGCTAGAAGCATTGTCCAACGCAAATGAAAAGTAACTTAATTAACACTATTTGGCTGCCATTGATTGATTGATGATAGAGAATACTGTAGCCTTTCTAATGAAATTGAGGACTGGAAGAGCACAACTGGAAATATATATCAAGTTCATGCTGAAGCAATCGATGCTATTCCAACGGAGACAGCTATCATCCACGAAAGTGTCGATGTAGACTTTATACTGCAACATCTCCATGAGGAGCAGCGACAATTCTACAAGGATTATTGCGCCACAGAAGAGACATATACAATAGAAACCCCTGAGATGATTGATCCGGGCATTACTCACATTAGACAGCAGTTAAATACGATAAATCAATTTCAATTACAAGCCGGGAAAGTTTTTGGTAAGCAAGAGTCAAAGCTCGCAAAGAAAATGCACGAGAGAACACAATACATACCAGAAGGCAAACATTACAGTAGAGTGCAGTATCTGGAGACTGTTTTGAAGCATGTTCTTACTGAAACACCTCGATACAATAATATGACAAACCATTAGCGTGGTATTAAACCAAATCCAGCGGTTGCTATTTATTGAAGGATGTATCAAATGAGTAAAGATACAGACTATACAGAATAACTCGCATAGTATAAATGAATTATGTGAATGAATAACTATTAAAGATGACATACTGTAACATGTCTCTGTGACAAAACTTGCGTAAAAAATAACGATAATATATAGTGTAACTGAATTCTAGATTGGAAGGATTATTGTTGAGAAATGGATTTTTTTTTTTTTGGAAAAAAGGCAATGTTGAACCATGATGTTCGTATGAGAAGCTGTTAATGCAAGTGATTATGAGTAATAAATGGATGGATGCAATGTTGGGAAACACTGTAATCAAAATCGTTTGTTGATGATACCTTGTTGCTGTAGTGTGGTTTAGCAAAGGTTGAAGGTTGTGTTTCGCATCTCAGCAAGAAGAGGAGGGGACAGCTTTTTCGCATTCTATGTTGTTGGTAACGATGTTATATCAGAAAGATGATATGCCTACTTTGAGGGGTTGTCAAATGTAGAAAGAGATTTTCAGATGCTACATTGGCTGCCAAATAATTATAGCGGGTAAAATGTAGAGCAAAGCAATAATATTGTAGAAGGGCCCGTGTTTCGACACTGCTATTCCTTGTTCAACTGTCAAAACTCAACCAAGCATTAGTTGAGTCTTGCTACTCTGTGTTTGGTCTACAAAATGAGAGCTCATTTATGTGTCTGTAACGCTTGCTTGCAAAAAAAAATGGGGGTTGGACTTCCAAACTGGAGTTTACACTGGCAAAAAAACGGAAACGACCATGTAATGCTCAACTCTAGTAAACAGAAGACTTGGGGCGTGGAATGGCTAATAGCAACGCACAACAAGAGGTTTATATGCTCCACTGTAGCAAAAGTTAGCCTTGATCGGTGGATTTTGGACAATTCTGGCTGGGGCTGACCTATTATGCATTACCAAATTACGAGTGCTAATGCTACAGAAGTTTCAACTAAGGCTTCAAAACGATAGGCGCTTTGCAGGTCTACGCAACGGAGAATGCCATAGGTAAAATGATACAGATTTAGCAATCACTTTTCTTGGAAAACCTTGAGAATATATTCTTTTTTAGATACAAATTATAAATACACTATCAAAATTAGTAGCATTTGAAGCTCTTTCTATATCTTGCACCAAGTTGCGTGGCTAATATGACTCTATTATGAGTTTTTGGACATTTTCTCTGGTTAAAATTCGTAAAATACACGATTTTGAGCAAAATCATAAAGTGAACGTATGTTTAAGGCTTAAAGTTTTTACAACACAATAGATCCTGAGTAGGGCTATCGAATGGTCTTTATTTTACTCAAATACGATGCGTCTTTCCCGAGATATGATCAAAAATTTTCTCGCGCAAAATCATTGACTTTTGGTCAGAATTTGCCTGTAATGGCAAGGCAAAAATCTGGATGACAATTTTTTGGATGTATAAATTTGTGAATATCTCCTGATAGCGTTATGCCAGAGTTTTGAGACACTGCTCATTTGAAAGGATTTTGTTTGCTCTACAGCATGACAGGTATTAAACGTAAAGTTTTGATGACAAAAATGCGATAATTTATTAAAAACTATCAAAAAATTGCAAAAAATATCGTATCAAAAATCAGGCTAATAACTTGGGCTAATCCACTTGATATTAGTATCATTCGATTTGCCTCTAAATTCTACCATAAGTTTGGTTTAGCTGGAAGCAGTTTTATCATCGCAATCGCATTGTATTGTGGTTGAAAGATCTTAGACACCCATGGATCCTTATTTTGAGCAATATGAAGGCTGGGCTATGGATATTTTGAAATACCGTCTTTTCAGTATGTGGCTAAATTAGAACGCAAAATATGCTACCTTTGTTAAATACAACCTCTTAATTACAATTGACCGATTGATAAACAAGGTGTTGGCAAACCTTGTAGCAGAAACTGTGGAATTTGAGGCTTGATAGACTAAAATTCACGGAAAAAAAAGAATCAAAAAACAGTAATGTCAACTTGATAAAGGTATGTTTTATTATCAAACTGACAGGTGTAAAGTAAAACTGAAGTCTCTCTACTGGCCAGGTAGATGATCCTTCTTATATCCTATAACAATGGATAAAAGTTCTATTAATTAGATTGACAAATAAGTCAACTCAGATCAACTAATGTCTAATCATGATTTAGCTTTGCCTGGATGAATAATTAAACTCTCATCCAAAGTACCCCGATCTATCCTGATCTATCCTTTCTATAATGATAGTTAATATTGATCTAGTAGCATGTATCCGATAGGTACAGTCTCCTTAGTCTATATCAATAGTACACATCTGAGTGTATATCGCTAAGCATACATCTTTAGCATGTATCTGGATATATGGCATGTCTATAGCATATCGTATGCATGTCTATAACATGTCTCATATATAGTACAAGTCTGTAGTACATAAAGTATCTGTAGCTAGTATCACGGATATAAGCATGTGTCTTATAGCGTGGATCATGAAGTGCACATCTGAAGCAACAAGCTCATATTGCATTACTCTTGGTGCCTATCCAGATATGGTAAACATCCGTAGTCAATGTCGGAATACAAGTACAAGTCTATAGCGCCATCCATGTCCATGGTGCCATCTATAGCCTATATCTTATATAGTATGAATCTTATAGTACTAGCGTATCTGAAGTCCATATCTTCTTATAGCATAAATCGGTATCGTACATCTAATCCAGTGAACATACAGTTTATATCTAAATTTGGCAACTGGATGAACTGTCGGAATACAGATCATAGTGGATGTATTCCACAGATATGTCTGTGTTGTGCAACAACATGGACAAGCTATGATAATTGAAGTGCATCTCAGCTACCTAAATACTGAGGTTCACCAGATGAGGTAAGAATTGTACAAGATAAATTGCTACTTTGGCATTCAGAACTTAGTAGTATAAATAGAATAACTCTGATCTTCATCAATAAATCTTTAGTTTTTGTGTCTGATCTTATTCAAATAAGTTTTTTCTTGTTTTTATAATATCGAACATTTTTTATAAGCTACAAATAATAATCCTTTTATTCTTTGTGCTTAACACATTATTTTACTATTGAATAATGAAGGATTTAAATTGTATCAATATTTGGATACATTTTTATTACAAATACAAAATTATAATACATGACAGATCAATAGGAGATTAATTAGCTGTAACTCTTCGTTGTTCCAACCTCTTAGCCAATCAGATTGCTTGAAAACTCCGCTGACCTAAAAAAAATTTTGCGAGGGTTTCCCCCTGTTTTGATGTGAGGCAAAATTTTAAGCGCCGCTATATATAGCAATATAGCCGCTGCTATCATCAAATTTCCCTCAGGTGCTAGAGCATGCCTTACTTACACCACCTAGCTTTAAATTCAGGCATTGAGACCCTCAATCATCACTAAAGTAAGTAGCAATAACCAAGTGGAGGCAGCCTATCCACCTCCTAGCCTCGGATAAAGTCTTGTTGAGCTTCAGGGATAGGCACATCCACACAACGTAAAAAAGGTATGCTTCAAAGAAACATAAAAATAATAAAAGAATGAAGAAAAGAACATACTACTACTACTATAAGAGTATAGTGGTATGTAGGCAAAAAAAAAGAGGCACTCACACGAAGCGAGTCAAAGAAAAGTGTAACGAATATAACACCGCCAACAAAAGAAAAAGAAGAAGAAAAAAGCGCAACAAGGCAAACATCATGAATGCATTATCACGAGAAAGGAAGCAATAATATAAGCGTTCAAAGAAGTTTCATATCATTGCAACCAGAAAAAAGAAGACACTTACCACTTACTATAGCCACAGATAGACCAGAAGAGTATAGGCAATCACCGGAGATAGACCATAGAACAAGCATACAACAAATACAGTAGACCGGGAGAGACCATTTTAGCAGCAGCAGCAGCAGTAGCAGCAGCAGCAACACCAGCACCATAGACAAACTAAAGAACAAGCGCCATCAGCAGAGACCAAACAAAGACCAAAGAAGCTATTTACCACTTATCTCCATCACAGATAGACCAGAGGATATGCAATCACTGAATATAGACCAGAGAACGAGCATGCACCAAAGACAGTAGACCAGGAGAGACCATATTAGCAGCAGCAGCAGCAGCAGCAGCAACACCAGTACCATAGACAAACCGAGAAACGAACGCCACCAGCAGAGACCAGACAAAAGCCAAAGAAGCAATCACCAGACATGGTAAACCAAAGAAGCAGGCAGCAGAGAAGACAGAGAAGGAATGGCAGCAGCACTCACTCAAACAAGCAAAGAAATTATTAAAACCTAATAAACAAACTGAATTAATGTTAATCCTATGCCTTCCAGTGCTCGTTATCGAATGGTACGTAACATATTCCACTTCAAAGAAGCAGTATCAAGTACTCTTAACAGAACAAGACAGAGTTATCGGAAGCTAGAGTGTTATTATCAATCAAACGGTCTCCAAATCCACCATGGTTTGATACTAAAACGCGTTTCGCAAAAAGGAGAAAAAACGAGGGGTATGAAAGAATGAGAGAGCGCCCTATCCGACGTCACGGCCAGTAGATTTGTCCTCAGTTTTTGTCGTGGCAGCTCTAATTGCGGCAGCTCTAATTGCGGCAATTTAATTTGAAACTGTGCAGTGGTATTTTCGTGTTCAAACTTGACTTGATCTCACATCCTTTAAACGTTTTTGCTAAATTTGGCTATGAAAACTGTCGTTGTTACACCCAACCTTCTAATACATATCCAGAGGACTAAAGAAGCCGCATTGAATGGTGCTAATTACTTTTAGATTTCAGACAGAAAGTAATGAGCAATTTGCAAATATATGAAAACATGTTTTTTGCCAAAATGTCGAAATTTCACATACGAAAATTTCATAGAAAGAGTTTCAAGTGCTGCATCCAGTCTTTATGATCAATTTGATCTTATTTGTATCATAGAGAAAGTCTTTATTCTTGGGGTGAAAAACG